TTATATATATATATATATATATATATATATATATTGGTTTATATATTAGGTTATAAACTCTAATAAAGCATACATTCTCCAATAAAGCATACTTGAATGTAGAGTAAAATAAAGCATTAAACAAATCATTTTCATCAGGGACTTTTGTTACCTTAGCTTGGTTCTCCTGCTTCTTTTCTTCCACCTTTTGACGGCGCTCCTTTGGAGAGAGACTCTGGTCCTCCTCAAGATCAGAAGTGAGCTTCACATCAGCCTCTTCTTCATTTCTCTTTGGGTCCTCAAACAGAGAACCGACAGACTCCACCAGAGCTGCAGTAGAACAGAAACAAACGTTATTAAAGTAATGAACACATAACCAACAGACTCCACCAGAGCTGCAGTAGAACAAAAACAAACGTTATTAAAGTAATGAAGTAATGAACACATAACCAACAGACTCCACCAGAGCTGCAGTAGAACAAAAACAAACGTTATTAAAGTAATGAAGTAATGAACACATAACCAACAGACTCCACCAGAGCTGCAGTAGAACAGAAACAAACGTTATCAAAGTAATGAACACAGAGCCAACAGACTACACCAGAGCTGCAGTCGAACAGAAACAAACGTTATCAAAGTAATGAACACAGAGCCAACAGATTCCACCAGAGCTGCAGTAGAACAGAAACAAACGTTATCAAAGTAATGAACACAGAGCCAACGGACTCCACCAGAGCTGCAGTACAACAGAAACAAACGTTATCAAAGTAATGAACACATAACCAACAGACTCCACCAGAGCTGCAGTCGAACAGAAACAAACGTTATCAAAGTAATGAACACATAACCAACAGACTCCACCAGAGCTGCAGTAGAACAGAAACAAACGTTATCAAAGTGATGAACACATAACCAACAGACTCCACCAGAGCTGCAGTAGAACAGAAACAAACGTTATCAAAGTAATGAACACAGAGCCAACAGACTCCACCAGAGCTGCAGTACAACAGAATAAACAGTTTCATTTGATAATTTCTTTCTTTCTTTCTGTTGCATGTCAGTGTTTGTTACATGTTTTCTCACAGTAACTATTTGAAAAATACATTCAAAAGTTTTACATGACATGTTTCTCCTGGATTAAAACAAACAGTCAAACAAAAAACAAACTTGAGGATACATTACATGAGGAACCATACGACTGGTGAACATGACATAATGTACTTACATCCTCCCACAGACTGGACAGTCGACGGGTCAGACATGTCCAGCTGGTCCAGTTTGCTGGTGATGAACTTCAGAACACCCATGGCCATGTCCTATAGGGCAGCATAAATCTGTTGTTTTAAAACTAGACTTCTAAGTCTGAAAGCATCAATTTTGTTGCTAAACCAGCATCTCAATACGCAAACATGTTGGGCAGTATTCCACTTAAAATGCAATTGTAGTGAAAAGATTATGTGAGAAAAGGCTTTGATTCATTCAAAAAATGAAATCTTTTTAGCACATTTAAGTTTCAGAGAAAGATGAATAGCCATTGGCATGATGTCCAAAAAATTCATTGATGCAGATATAACCATTACAAAAGGATGCCCATATAAAATCAAAATCATGTACATAAATTACAATAAAGTAATGGCTCTAGCCATGCATAGCAAAAGGCACAATCATATAGAATAAGAGAAAGATCATAGTTTTCTGCACAGTTGCAAGTGTGCATGTAGCTCCATGAGTAGTCAAGCTTGTAGATGTAGGTGAGGAGTCAAACGGTTCAGCTTTGTAAAACTCCCATCAGAGACTTGTACCTTATCCTCCTGTGGAATGCCAGGACAGGACTTAATGACAAGTGATGATAACTCAGACATCCTTTGCAGACCTTGCGGTGTCTGGGCCCGACCCATTTCAGAGGCCAATGTTTTAATTGCCTTCCTGCACATCTACAACAACGGATTATAAAAACAAAAATTGAACACCTTTGTTCCTTAACCTGGTCCAACCAGATTCCCCAAATGTTTCCCAATGTTTAACATCTACAGACTATCAAAGATGGCTTACCTGCGCCTTTTCCTCAGCAGCTGATGTCGGCTGCCCCAACACAACATCATCTCCAGACACATCTGCAGCCTTCTCATTAAAGAACAACAAAGTTACAGAAAAGGTTGGTAGTTAGCGACTAGCTTCATGTAAATGTAACATTCTACAGTAACTCTTATGATACAAACACACCACCATATGTTCATGGCAATTTCTCATGATACCATGATAGTGACCGGTGCAACGGCCAAGTGGGTAGAGTGCTCTCCTTGCATTTCGGTAGGTCGTGAGTTCGATCCCGGGCCGAGTCATACCAAAGACTTTAAAAATGGTACATACTGCTTTCTCTGCTTAGCATTCAGCATTTGGGGAAGAGTATGAGAGTTAAACGCACACCACTACCAGTGGACTAGCCCCCCCCCCCTGTAGTGACTGCTGTGTGTGGCCCAGGGCTAATGAACGGAGATGGGCGCCGCCCTATGTGTCACTTGACGCGGGAAGGCTCTTTAACTTTTTAACATGATAGCAAAGGAGCAAAATTTTGTACCAGTTTCTGTCCAAGTTATAGAACCTTATAGTTTGCTACTATTGTGACTGCTGTGTTTCATTGACTCTCTATAGTCCTGCTAATAATAGAATATCAAACAGGAATGTTCATTGGCATAAAAACATATGGTCAGTGTGCACAAATACATCTGACCACCGTGAGCCCCCTTGGGTGGTTTAACCCGGGCACCATCATACTCCACATTACTTAGGAGATCCCTGTGACATAATGTTGTTGTGAGAATAGCGGACAGATATTTTAGTGTGACTAAACCTGGGCCAGAATCTGGAGCACATCCTGTGAGCTTGAGGTGACGGATTCTGCATACATGCTCTCCAGACTGTTACCAAGAGCCTGTTGAATGGGAATAAAGGGAGTACAGTCAGGATAATACATAATACGTGCTAATACTATTGGACAGGCATTAAGGGCATGACAGTCTGAATATTACATAGTACATGAATGTGCCTTACTATTGGACAGGAATTATTGCAGAAGAGTCAGACTATTACATACATGTAATTTGTATTCTATACTATTGGAAGGAATTAAAGGCAGTACAAATTAAATAGCTTTATTCAATTAACAAGACTTTGTGTGTTTTGTAAGTTTCGTTGTCGTTTAAATAATAGTCTTACATCATGGGATGAATCCTTATCTATTTCTAAAGCCATGGTTCATACAAATTCATTTGGGGCCACTCAATAGTTGCTAAATCGAGTAGAAAGGGTCCCCTAAAATCCCCTCAGCTGCAGAACTGCACAGTTTACCTGATCAGCTGATGTTGCCCTGTTGCCGCCCGGCGGACTGCTGATGGTCTCTGTGATTCCTGCAAAACGGAAAATAGAATCATTCAATCACATCTCTTACCTTTGCAATGACATCAAAGCACAACATTCTTTTACTTGATCTGACATTGAAGGGCATGATGGGTTTGCAAGATCAGATTCTACTGTCAAAGGAACAGCATAGTTTCAAATGCCTATGTGCACATTTACACCTGTCCAGTCTGAAACATACATTTTATCACACTAGTTAAGTTGGTGGTATGTTGACTATGTCATATTTTGTACAACCTTGTGACCAGGTTGCTCCATGAATTTGCTCAAAGGCAAACAGACATACCATCGGTATCCGATCCGAGTTGTGGAGTTGGAGTTGATGGTCTGGTGGACATGGATGTTGGCATCCCACTTGTCTGCTTAGTTGTTTCAGCAGCTGATGGAGTGGTGGCTGTAGATAAAAACATTAGCATCAAAATGCCAATAATAATACATGTATATATATATTATCTAACGATGATTTTCTAAAGTTTTAAGGTATATTTAACGATATTAACACACAGCTTATATCATTGGAACATCAAATTTTATCGAGCAAAGCATAATTATCATGATCATGCTTTAGTACTGACTGAATTGTTGGTAAGTTGAATAGGAACATCATAGACTCTAAAAGTGCTCAATACATTTAATCAATGATGGTCTTTCCAGTGTTTCAATGCTGGGAGCCTACCGTCATCAGATGATTCCTCGCCCCATCCAGCCTCATGTGCATGTTGTACGGTCGAAGTTGCAGGTTTGGTGGAAAGGCGGGTGGTCATCCGACTTGTCTGCTGGGTTGTAGCAGCAGGAATTGTGGTTGGTGCAACTGTGGTTGATATGGCGGCTGGCAGAGGAAAAAGGATTCACCGAATTTTTCCAAATCTTTTGTAATAAGAACAGTACTGATAAAAACAAGACAAGAGAATGTATTTGTACAATGTACTCTAATACAAATCTAATTTTAAGGTTTTAGCATATATTTCCTTTTTGGAGGACAAAATAATATGGAACAAGCATGTTGAATAAACATAGTACATTAAATCAAGTGCTTCTCCCATAGTAGGGATGTCACACTAAAAATAGGGGGGCGCCAAGGATTATTAAAAATAATTCCATGTTATAGAGTAGATTTTTCCGGTCAGAATGCTTCCTTTCGCATAAGAATTGGACAAAGTTGAGATTTTTTAGAATTTTTTAAAGTTTACGATTTTGACGTTTTCATTGGAAGATGCTTAACTATTGGTCCTATGGGAATAAGCTAATTAGTCATGGCACCAAATGAGACCATAAATCAACAATATTTGACATACATTTTATTGTAACTCTTAAACTTTTCATGCTACAATCTTCAAATTTTCAGCATATTAGGATCAAACAATTTGCCACAAAGGTCTTTAATTTCATCTTTTTACATACGAAAGTTTACACATTTTTGCTAATTAGGCTAATTATTACATCTAGCCATAATTACATCATTTTTATGGGTAACGAGATTCCTACAAATTGTGACAAAAGCTACAAATTGTGAACAGAACTCTATACTAGAAAGGCATTTTGTGGTCCTAAATTCCCTTTAGAAGTAAATAAAGCATATTATTGAGGATGATTAATACCAAAATATGCAAATAAGCCTAATTACCAACATATGATATACATATCCGGATACATGTCACTTTTCTTTGTATAATGTCTAATAAAATGTCAAAGTAACCTGTTGACATTTGAACAAACTGTAATATTCATATTCTTAATTAACAATTATTTCAATCAACAATATGCTAATTACCTTATGCACATTAGCCCGAACTAATTACTCATGCACAATAGTGTCATTCAACCAATGAGTGAGCTGCTTTTCTAAGTATGCTACAAATTGTAGAAGGGGCTTGCAGTGGCAACTTTCTGAATCCTACATTCCGGTTAAATTCACATTAAAGAATATGAATTTTTTTGCAATGTCTTCCCTAATTGCAAAATATGCAAATGAGCTTAATTATTCTCGAATATTTTCCAATTTTTGTATGATTTGTATTACACTGTCTACATCCAATGTATCTGTTCCTAACATACATTTCAAGTGTTAACCTGCTTGCATGTTGACCTAAGTATATCCCATTACAACAGGAAAATGTATATATATATCAACTTATTATTGAATTATATTAACATATTAAAGATATGCTAATTAGCAATATGCTAATGAGTCAGATGTAATGAAATGTATACATTGTTAATGATAGCCACATACATTGGCTGTTAGTAATGCAACTCAATGATGTACCTGGCTTACTTGAACAAGGTGTATAAATGTAACTGCAGCTTTAAATAACTTTTAATATCCAATTGCAATTAACAAATATGCTAATTAATAACTAGAGTCCTATATTTTACCTGCTAAGGCTTTTTAATACCTTATTGTCATATGTGCATTTCAATTCAGATGATATTAATAAATTGCCTGCAAGATGTACTTGAGCATCAAACTAGTATTGGCCGTGTTAACAAATATTATGAATGTCTAATTGGTACAAGTTCCTCACAGGAGACTCAGATACTAACTCACTTTCTGACTAGTATCAGTAAGTTCTGTTTTAAGTCATTCTCCTTAAGCGCCTTTCCCCCTTTGAAAACTGAAACAAGGACTTGTTATGAACACGGTCACCAAGCACTTCCTTCCTGAACTTAATCTGTTGTTTCAGTGCCAGCATCCTAGACTTTTTGGTGACAAGTTTCAACAGCCCAGCCTCTATCTGTTCTGCTGAGTCCCATAGCCCGAGCTGTTTTACAGTACTTTTCAATGCCTCAAGTGCTGCTTCCTTGACAGCCTTTTTCTGTGTCTTTTTTTTGTATCCTTGCATGCAACAACTCCTGACGATGCAGCTTCAGCTGCTTCTGCTCCTCTTGGTGAAGCTTCCTGTCTGTACGTGCAGCCTTCCTTGCTTCCTTAAAGACGGTATGTTTCTCTTCCATGGGTATGGTGTCCAGGTACTGTCCTGTTCTGTTTAAGCGGAACATTATCTTGCTTTCTCTTGTCAGGGTCGTAGCATTTGGTGAAAAACCTGACGTCCCGGTCCAAATGCGCGAATGTTCGCTCCAGACCAGTGTTGTTTGTGGGACATGTAGCCATCTCCTCTCTCTGTGCTTCTGTTGGGTTGTGGAAGATTCCCCCTGGAAGGTAGTCTTTCAGCATTCTCTCGGTAACGACAACAAACTCAGTCATGATATTCTTCAGTGCCTGACAAGTCAGCCTTTTGATTTCAGGATCATCATGCGAGAACAGTGACTTGTAAACATCATCATCCTCTCCCTGCACTGAAGGGAATATGCTTCCCCTTCCATCAGTGAGCTTGGATCCTTTATGAAAGAACTGAAGCTGATGTGTAACTGGTGGAAATGTTGACACATGTCCAGTATGCTGCTCTCAGATTCTACCAATCTCCAGAGAGGAGCTGTTACAATCTTATTGATGATACCCAGTGCACAGCAGCCTGCTACATACACAGGAACACTGAGGTCTGCTCTAACAGCCTGTAGGAGTCTGTTAGGTGCCTCGCACGTGTCGAGGTATGCTAACAAGTCGTCTTTATGGTGGTATGTTGCCCCACCATTTTTGAATAGAACATTGAATCTCTCTCCTCTGAAGGAGATCAGTTTGTTGACCTTGGCAGGGACACAGGACTGCAAGAAGGCCTCAAATTCTTTGGGGTGTCCCGACTTCTCACAGGCTCCAGTATGCGAGAATGCCTTGCAGACGGCTCTAACTAGCCTATGTGCTCCTGATTCTCCTTGTGATGGGAAGAACGTCTCTGCCCCTGTGGCACCTGAGGAACTGTGATCTGTGCACGTGCATGCATTCTCAAATGTTTTCAGTCCTGCTTCTGCCGATGTAGCCAAGCCAACTATGAAATGCATGCTACAGAAGTGGTTCCACATATTCTTCATCGCATCCTTTTCTTCGGGAGACTTCTTGTCCCAATCTTTCACTACCTTTGGCAAAGCCTCTTGTCTAATATCCTCTAGTTTTCTGTTCAGGCACTTGTTTACCACATGCCTATCAGTCATCGTGTTTTTATGGACACCACATCTCCTCTTCACTTGCCCCACATGCTGTTGCCAGATCATGCATCATCTTTTGACATGTCCACTTGGTGCTCGGTCTTTCCAGACAGCTGCTCTGTAACTCCTGCCACTAACTGTCCTTGCTGAGTGAAAAAACTCACCGATCCAAATTTGTCATGTTTCTTTGTGGTACCATCCGTACCCACAGTGATGTTATCAGATTTACTGACAACGTCAGCTACATGCATCTGGCTAAGTCGCCTGGCTTCAGCAAACATGGTTTGCGCTGTGGAGTATTTTGGTAACCTACCACACTTGAGACCTCCTAACTTCTGCAGTACAGTCCTTATGATCCATTCCACATTGTTAAGTCCAGTGTCCATACTAAGTAACATCATGTAAACCTGTCGAACATCAGTGGTAAACCTACCATCTTCAAAAGTTTTCACTTCATCAGAATCAAGGAATTTTGTCATGTTATCATGTAATTCCTTGTTCTCTGCTTTTAGGTTTGCTATCTTCTCTTCTAAATCTACAGTATCTTCATCACACAACGAATGAGATCTCATTGCGATTTTGTAGTGAGATTTTATCCGTTGTGCGTGAATCTTGTTCTTTATTTCATTGTCTAATTGCTCCTGCAGCACATCAACCATAGACTTCAACTCCTCTATCTCTTCATCCTTTTCTCTGATCAAAGAGTCTTTCTCTTGTAAGTTTGATTCCTGTGTCTTGATCCTGTTCTCCTGTGCTTTGATTTTCTCATCTCTTCGTTTAAGACGCTTGTTAACATTGCGAGTATTGTACTCGCTCAGTTTCACCAAAGCATTCTGTAAACGGCTGTATGTCATTTCTGACTCTTTTCCAACTGAAGCAGTAGAGTGTTTTGTTTCATTCTTTCCTCTCTACTCATCCGTGTTTGCTCCTTCATGCTTTCCTTTAAGTCTTGGATTTCCGCTGTCTTCTGTTTCATCTCTGACAAACATTTCACGTACTCCCCTGACAATGTTTCTAATGTATCTTCCAATGTGTTGTTCTCCTTCACCAAGTCCCGCGAAAAGTTTATCAATCTGTTTAAAGATTTCAAAGGGTAAGCAGGTAGTGGTACAACTGGACTGGACGAGCATGTACTAGTACCGACAGCTTTGCTGTTACTGATGTTGATGTTGCTTGTGCATCTTGTTTGTAGTGGTTTGGGGCCTTCAAACATCTTTGCCATCAAGATCTGTAACTCCTTTGTTTTCTTCTTCATCACAAGGTCCCTTCTCTTTTTCTTCAATTTGTAGATGTGAGTGCGAACACTTGTCCCATTTGCATGTGTTAGTTTCTCTTTAAGGTCCGACGGCGCAATACTTTTTAGCCATTTGATAATTGTCTCATCTCTGAGTCCAGATTTCTTGATGAATGAGCAAAGCTCCAGCACAAGCTCGTTTGACAATTTTTCTTCTGCCCAAAGGGGCACTCACTGGTATGTCACCCTCAAGGTGGCTTAGAGATAGTCCTAATGCTTCGCTCAACTTCCCAGGGTATGTCACTAGAAAAAAAAAAGAATCGATATGTCTGAATAAAGTCTTATAAAGACCATGCAACTGAATGAGAAGCTCATGATCGATGATCCGGCCTAAAGTTTTTTTCGTCCAAAATATGCCACATTGTCGTAAATTAAAAGTGTAACACACTTACCCATTAAATATATTACTAAAGAGCGGCGGAATTTATTTTGAATATAGGTTAAATTAAACCGACAACGTTCGCGATCTAACGCCCCCCTCCCCTCACGGCCGCGCGCATTGCACGCACCATTTTTCTGGCGGCCGGGAAAAACTAACAAAATGTTTCGCTAAACCCACAGCTCAAACTCGCCTCAAATGAAACAAAAACTACACCAACATAACCACAAGGTGTCTATATTTGTTGCTATGGGCGACAAAATTTTAAATTCAAGAAAATAGCAAAATTTTCCACATACTTTTGGACGCTTCACTTCACTGACTCGTACCTCCCGCCAGCGATGACGTAGCGATTTCGTCCCACCGCTGTCGTGAACCCTGAACTCTGCCCTTTCACATCAAATCATTCCCAGAGTTCTACGAGCCCGAGCGGTTTGTGGCTTTTGAGTGGAAGAAGACGTCTCCGCCGGCTGGCTTCAAAATAGCGTGCCGCGTTCGCGGCGTCCGAACGGGGCTGATTTTCGGCCGTATTGTCAACTTTGCTGATTTTTAGCTCCTTTATTGATCCATATTTTCAACTAAAAATACTATGGCACGATAGCTGACATCATATACATTGTTGGTAACGATTTTTATTGACATAATACAAACGGTTGATTTTTTACGATCGTTTAAAAATATTTACTGCCTCGCGCGCCCCCGCATTCCAATGCCGGAGCGGAAAAGTTTGACATGCCTACCCATAGCTTTTAAATACAACCATTGATGAACCCTTTGGTTAGTTAGTACATATGTTAGTTATGGTTTTGGCTGTGGCTGACAGTTCCTCATGTGCAAGAACGCACGCTTTAAAAATATCTTCTCTTACAGATTTTTTTATTCATCATGACTACAGAATGTACACCCTGGCAATGTTCTGGCATCAATAGAGAGTCAGAATAAGTTCAGTTCTATCTTTGGATTCATCAACAGCAGCTAGACCCTCCCTACCTGTGGTTGCCGGTATCACTGCCGCCTCGCTTTGTGACCTCCAACCACCTGAAGAGAACAGGGCCGTCACCCTGATGATGTAAGTAGTCTCTGGTGACAGGCCGACCACCGAAAACCACGCCTCGTCAGTGCTCTGATTGACAGCTGTCGTCGTGTCCAGGTTGGAGACCACCACACGGTACCCTTGAAGGTCAGAGTCAGGGGATGGAGACCAGGTGACCTTGAACCCTTCGTCCGTGATGTCAGTTACGGCCAGGTCCATTGGTGGATCTACAGCTGCAAGAAAATGGATCAAAGCAGGAGTTAAAAATGCTCACTTTTAATATTGATGTAAATAGCTATATAGAGCACCAAACATGTAATTATAATCTCATTATAACTTCATTGATCAGATGTGTTTAGATTACAGCCATTTCTAAACAATGCTGAAACATGATACATGTAAATTCTGGCCACAAAATTATGCCAGTTCATTTTTTAAAAATAAAACAGAATTTAAGCATTTATAAATAATTTGTGAAAGAGAACAGTTAACTGCTATATAGGCGCATACGATACCTTTATCACAAAGCTGTGTTTTCCATCCATCCCGGCAGCCAGCAGAGCAGACACCCGATACTGGGTCACAGTTCACGTTCCCGCCCAGGCAATGACCGCACACTGTAAAATGTTCAAAGAACTCAGTATTAACACAACAAGAGGTAACGTCATGTTCATTTGACTAGACTTTCATTTTACATACATGTTGCATCAAAATTCTAATTACACCTGCTTTTGAAAACTTTCCTTGCTAAAGCCGGTATTAGAATTGGACTAATTAAAAAGAAAAGTGTTTTGACGTAATATCATACATTTTTAACCGAATACACTTTTCTTTTTACTATCATGAAAGTTCATCTGTGTTGGTAGTTACATGTTTAAAGTGAAAACTTTTGGTCCAACACAAGAAGTTCTCTCACCTAGAGCTTTCGACCAGTCACTCTAGTCTTCCTCAGTAGACTGACCCAGTGAAGCTTGTCACGTGGCTTCTTTGAAGTGTGACGTCAACACTGGGTCAAAGGTATCTGGTAGACCCAGTGTTGATGTCACACCAAAGAAGCCACGTGACAAGCTTCACTGGGTCAGTCTACTGAGGAAGACTAGAGTGACTGGTCGAAAGCTCCAGGTGAGAGAACTTTTTGTGTTGGACCAAAAGTTTTAACTTTAAACATGTAACTACCAACACAGATGAACTTTCATGATAGTAAAAGGAAAAGTGTAGTCGGTTAGAAATGTATGATATTACGTCAAAGTCACTTGAAAGAATAGGCTGCTAATAATAAATAATTGTCATATATAAATATTAACCCAGAACTCGTGTGAAGACGGCATGTACGTCACATTGTGTTTAGGATAAAGTCAAAGAAGAAGGGCTTTGCGTATTTACACTGTGTAAATATAAACCTGTGTGGCAAACACACAGGCTAAACTTTTACCTCGACAGCCGTGGGCGTCTTCAATCAGCACGAAGCCTCGTCGGCAGAAGCACCTGTAGCTCCCGGGGACGTTGGTGCAGATCTGGTCACACCGTCCGTTCTCTGTCGCACATTCGTCGAGGTCTACAAAGACATTATGATACAGAGGCAAATTCAGGATCTGAAACAACTACAAGTGTTACCTCTAAATACAATGGTTACAATTTTAGAAGTTATAATTTCTTATCTAAAAGCTGAATGGTTAATATTTTGTAATGCACATGTTTGATCACATTCATTCAGCTGTGTTACTTTCATATTAGCCAAGCAATAACACCAAACAATTAATTTTTTTTGGTTATTTTAACCAGTATTTTTTAATAATACTGTTGCTTATAAATCAAACGTAAAATCAATCACTACAATTAACTAATACCTTCACAACCATGGCTGTCTCCAATCAACACAAATCCTTGTGGACAGGAACAGGTGTAACTTCCTGGCACGTTAGTGCAGGTTTGGGCACATCCACCGTTGTCTGTCGCACATTCGTCAGTGTCTGCAAAGAGTTTAGCAATAACAAACAAGACAAGCATTATTGGTTGAAGAAATAACAATAAAAAAATGTTGATGTTTGTTGCATGTTATTGTAAGAAATCCATTACATAAGAATTTCACCAGATTGCTTAAACTAAAATAAAGTATGTGAAGAAGTAAAACTCAGTCTTACCTTCACATCCATGCTCGTTTGCTTCCAACACGAAGCCCTGTAGACAGGAACAGTTGTAACTTCCCTGGACGTTGGTGCAAGTTTGGGCACAGCCACCGTTGTCTGTTGCACATTCGTCGATGTCTGCAAAGAGTTAAGGGATAACAGACAAGACAAAAAGTTTTTGGTTGAAGAAATAACAGTAAAGAAATGTTGTTGTTTGTTGCATGTTTTTATTAGAAATCCATTAGATTAGACTTAAAAATCTAAATCTGCAGTAACTCTTCCTGGATATAACCGGTATATACTAGTAACTCCAGACCTACATGACTTCTAGCTAAACACATCTGGCTATGGGTCCCACCACGATGGGTAACAGAGATACTGGTATTGAATTCGGTAATTTAATAAAAGCAATGTTAGACAAAAGAAATTTGCACTCAGGGCTTGGTTCCAGCTGTAAAGAAAAGATATTATTATTAAGTGATAAAAGTTGCACAGAAGACCTCTGAAAGCCATTGATGTACTTTGGAAGTTCATTGTTGCCTTGTACATTGATTGGAACAAGAGCAAGACAGAGAATCCATCAATGACTTTATATTTAAAACGTTATGCGTATATACGTATACATCGTAATTATGGCAAGTCAAGAATAAGTCTGACTGCCCAGTGCTGTAGTTTCTGATACAGTATAGTCTGTCGGAAAAAAACATTTCTGCAGTTAACCCATGGTTTTAACAAAATCCCGATTTGACAAAATCATGCAGTTAAATAATATATATACCGACATAAAATGACTATTCATTTACTTATTTACAAACTTCAACAACCTAACACATTAAAAACATTTTTGAATGGTTGTTAATTTCTGATGTGATATTTTACACGTTAGTCCAGCGGCATAGCTGAAAAATTGTGCACTTTTGTCTAAAAGCACCAAATTTGGCACACATGTACTTGAACATATTCTAAGCAAATTTGGATATGAGATAGGCGAAGCCTTCTCGTGCCCTAATTAAGGAGGAGGGGCCAAAAAATTAAGCATCAATATTTCTCCCTGAAAATTTATATGCCACCATAACCTACTACAGGATACACAAATCTGTTAATTTTGTCTCAATATCGCTCATCTGGGAAAAATTATGAGGATTTAAATCCCATTTTTAGTCATGCAAATGAGGATCATGTTCATAATCAGGGGGAATAATCTATAATTCGTCAGTCATAACATCATTTGGCCGGGATATGAAATCGTGAAACTCTAGTTGTACTACGTATTATGAAATGGTGTTTGGTGTTTGTTAAGATAGGATTTTCATAAGGGTTGATATAACCCCGACCAATACGGTCGACCGATGATGATGATGATGGTGATGATGATGATTGTCATAATGTCATGGGGAATAAGAAAGAACTTTATCGAGGCAACAAAAATACAGCGACTTTCGTAAGGTCTAAGACATGACGTAGATATACAAACAAATATACATGGGTACAACGAAAATATACTACGTCTAAAACAATAGATGGGTCAACTAATACTACTTGTTCCAAGGTCTAAACATTCTTTGATATATGATAAGCTAATTTGATTTTTGCAAATGTGGGTCTAATTAACATAACTACATTCGCCAAGAAGGTTATGTTTTTGGTGGTGTTCATGTGTGTGTGTGTCTGTGTGAGTGTGTCTAAATGCTGCAGTACCATAACAAGCCGCTAGGAGGTCCAAAGTCCACTCACCTACCAACTTTTATGACAATCGATGAAAATCTTATCATACTAATCCGCATACATACATACATACATACATACATACACATTACACACACATACCTTCTTGGTAAGGTTTTTAGGTCCATCGGTATCTAAAACATTTTCTGCGTTGCTTACCTATCAAATAGACTTCATTCGCAAAGACCCCGCCCTTGCCGTCCGCTGCACAGGCTGTGGACGGTCCGTGCTTCTTGTAGGTGTTCTGAGCATCAGCCGACCCAAGGCACTGTCCGCCATCCTGTACAGCAAACACGGCAAAGCCACGAGAAAGTGCTACCTGGTAACACTTTTCGATGGGATCGTTACGTGTCCGGTAGTAACCATCTAGGCGTGCATCTGTCCCCTCAAGTGATGGAATGGCGCGGTCATCATCGTCCCTCCAGCAACCCAGACTCTGGTACTCAACACTCTCACTTCCTGTACAGGAATAGTTAGGGTAGAATAGAAGGATAATTTGCACGTCTTTTAACAAAAAGTTATGTTTAGTTTTCTTTGCAGTCCATCCACATCCAGCAAATCTTAAAGGGATTATCCGCTTGATGTAGCTATATTGAAAGAGCAGTTGGAAAGAGTGTTTATTATTGTGACATGCATATGTGCTGGGGATGATTCTGGATAAAGCATAGTTTTAGGTACAACTCTGGACTGGTTAAGCAGAGTTGAATTCCAAGTCCATTATACGTCTGGTTTGCAGTACGGAGAACCTCAAATGCATGTTTTCCTGGTGAGAAAATGTAACTTGAGTTCGTTGAAACAGTGGCATTGACCAACGTACTTTAAAAAAATTAAGTACGTGGAAAGACGTCAAAGTAAGTAAAAGCTTCAGGTGCAAATTTTACTTTGTTAAATTGTATCGTACAAGTTGGATCACTAGAGATAGCCAAAGTCTAATAAAAAAGAAAGAAGAGCAAGAAAGATAATCCCTACCTACCGACCCTAATTTTTTCAGGAATTGCAACTGCAAATTGTTCCCAGGCTTAGGACCAAGTGCTGTAAAGGAGACATGCGGTAAAGGCTGCATGTACCACGCACAAACATGCAAATAATTACAAAAAGAAGTAAGTAATGCTAGCTTTACTACGGAACAACTGTCTTACGTGCGCATGTTGGAACAGGACCACTCCAAGTTCGATCCGCTTGGCACCTCACACTAGAGTTTCCTTCCAGCTTGTACCCCTGGTTACAGGTGAACGTCACCACGTCATTGTAGGAGTTCGCTCCTTCAGGGCTCAGCGTTCCGTTATCTGGCGCAGTCAGCGTTGGACATTGGGTAGCTGGTGGGATAAACAGATGTCGATGAATCGCATTTTCATTCTAGCATATGTTGTGCATGAACATACTGCCTCATTCATTAGCTTCTCCAGGTTAAAAAAACTGTTCTTAGCTTATGAAATGGTAAGGACAATGCCACAACACAGGCCATGCACTAAGGTATATTGCAATAGCCTGGTGTCCAAAACTACTTTTTATCTGCCCAGTGTCTTCTCAGAATAGGACTGACTGACCGGTTCTGCTATGTTACTAGTACTTTGAATTGTCAGAAGAGACCTTTTATGCAGTTGATCCATATCATATCATAGTAATCCAGTTTGGGCAAAATCATGCAACTGCAAATCAACATTCAACTTACATTAATATAAAATAACAGCATTTATCGATTTATTTACAAACTTGGTGAGTCTTTAACCCCACCCACACATCAATTGGATTCTAGTTTAACCAAATGTATTTTGTGTCCTTTGAAATTTTAATGGTAGTTAATGTCTAATATGAAATTTTCTATGTAGCGTGAATTAAAAGTTAACAGTTCCAAATAATTGATAATACCTGCTGAGCCTGCGCACACGGTGTACACAATCCTGTCTCCGCTCCCGTCTGAGGCAAAGGCTGTTTTTGTGTTGTACAGACTTGAATGACTATCACGTATCCCACGTTGGCAGTTGGTGGTGTGACAGTTGTTAAAGCCAAAACTCTGGTCCGCTTTAGCCCGGGCTGAGAAAGCCAAGTTTGCCACTTTACTTACCTGCCGGGCTGGGTGACAGCTGAGCACGTGGTTGATGTATGGGTCAGAGTTGTACTCAGTCACACACCTGGAAACAAAACATTTATAAGATATGTCAAAAACCATTGCTAACTCTTTCTAACAAAAGTTCGAAAACATTGGCTGCAGATTGTCTGACCTGAGCCTACGGACTGTAAACTTTACTATGTGAAAGACAATATAGGACATACTGTGTCACTAAATCTGAAATGATGAAAATTCCATAATTTAGTGAAATATATTACAAAATGAAACCAGCACTATGACAGGGTTAACAAGTGTGCACTATGAGAGGATTACCAGAATGCACAATGACTGTTCTGAATGTCACAGGCCCTACCGGATAGCATTCGGGTCGCTGGCACTCCTATCCGGGACTGCCCAGATCTCCCCACAGCCCGTGGGTCTCAGTCCGTAGTGACCACAGAGGTTTTGGTAATCCTTGCACCAGTCCAAAGAGGCAGAAAGGCCGTCAGCTGGCAGCCTCGCCTCGATGGCGAAGAAATCGACTCCTTCATACGTCTGGTTTGCAGTACGGAGGACCTCAAAGGCATGGTTTCCTGGTGAGAAAATGGAACATCGTTTAAAACAGCGACATTGACCATGATATCATCAGAACTTCAGGTTATTCAGATTAGACATATGAATATAGTATGATAGGTAATGATCAATCATTTACATAATTCAACTTGCTAAAACTTGCTTCAAAAAACAATACCTCCATTTTTCATGGAGGTAATTAGCCTGGCAGTATCCATTAGCCAGACAGTATCCAAAGGGCAAGAGCCTTGCATGGTGATCAGGGCAATAAACTACTTGGCATGAGCGCATTTTCATTAGGCAACAACTGTTGAACTTATAAGCCTTTGAACTTTTCGACTGCTGGCAGATCTTCGGTGTTTTATTTACTAGACTGAGAGATCGGTCAAGCGGATATCATGTATCACAACAAAGCGGTAGACGACAAAATTTCATTCTTGATCAGATGTGCCGACGTAGATTTCGATTTAATTCGTGAAATAAAACAAGGAAACACTCACTTCTTGAGGGTACTTCCTGTCATTATCACAGCCAAAACACGGACATTATTGTGGTTCGATCGGCTAAGTTGATCGTTTTAACCCCCGAACCTCCTTGATTCGGCTAAAAACTAAAAACCGCCGCCATTACTCAGATTCGAATGACCACAAACTGTCCCGGCATCCCTTGCGCGCGTTCTATCAGCGAAAAAGACTATGCCGCATGCATAGGAGGAATTTTTTTTAGTAGAAACGAAGTTAAAGCTACGATTAACACCCGATGGACTCTTTGAAATACTTTGGTTTAATTGTGCAGACTGTCTTGATCTAGTGTAAGAGCCTGCGATCTTCAACATTGTTATAACAGGTGTTATGAACCAGTCACTGGTGCCCCCATGCGGTGTCATGATGTACTGCACAGTCTTACACTACACGTGGACACGCGTAAAATTTTCCACCCTGTACTTTATGCCATTTTTTACTTCCATAAGTATTATTTTCAGCGGCGATGGTTTTGATTTGTGTTTTCTGGGTCCACAGTTGTTAGGATGTAGTGGTACATATAGTGGAGACCATCGCAAGCAGAATTGTAGACAAAATTCGAGTTGTAAGCGAGAAGCTGCCCTGAGAAGATGAGTACTAACTGTGAAACTGCACCCTCCTGAAATATCGTGCATGTCGGTCATTAGAGACGATTAGTGCAACAATGTATGGAACCGTAACAACTCATGTGCATTGGTGCATGAGAAACAGCTGTACGTTTGATGTCCTTCTGTTCCAGAGTTTTGAGCAAAGGTCACCATTTCCCGCAGGCGCAGAAGGTCCAGTCTGAGACCCCTTTGATTGAGTGCAGCCAAACCAACTGAAAACAGCCTTTTTCTTTGTATGTGTTGATAAATGCTGGCATTTTCCAGCTGGAGAATTATTTCTATTTCTATTAACTTGAAAAAAAAACTGGCTGTTAGTGTCGTTTTGGCTGCTTGGTAGAGTTCTAAAACTATCCCATCTTCTTGTCTTTTGGTGGTCTTCAAGGGGGTCAGGGGTCATGCTGCCAGTGTTTGCATTTGCCGTGCTATGTATCGCTGGTCAAAAAGTGAAATTTTTGGACTAAATGGACAATTTGGAAGTTGGACTACCCTGTCAATATGTGTTTCCAATAGTTGAACACTCAAGTAGGTGATTGTTGACAGCTCAGTTCTTAGATGTTTTCTATATAATTCCAATAGGGGCTGGAATTAGTGGGCTGTCCCCTTTTGGGCGTGCCTCAAACCGCCTTTGTACTATTTGCACATCGAACTGTTTGTACGTTGTCAGGCCGCCGCTAGCAATAACTTAGATGCCCACAAAAGCCACAGGTGGCATGACAATGCTGATGGTTTTACCGCTAAGTAATGAAATTTTGCAATATTAATGACAACAGCCGCCTCGTACAATGGCTGAGGATTAATCGGTGACGCGTGTCACTCACGCAACGTTCCGGAATTTAGCTCGCTGGCACGCTCTTAGGGTGTGGTGTTTTCGAGAAAATGAAATTTAGCATAAACATTTCTTTCTCGATTTTGAAAAAAAACAGTTAACTACTGGTATGGTGGTGCTGTATAAAATAACAAAGTTGTTGCTCGCTTTCGCAGTCTGGTCTAATGACGGGTCCATGTAAAATTGCTCAATTTTAAAAGTATCATGTCAGGTGAATACTTTTCACAAATCATTTCACAAGATTTCCATACATCCCAAGAAAATTTACGCTTCATATACAACATTAACAGGTATTTTTAGGGAAGAATTGCACGAAAATCTACCGCCGAGCCGACCGCCAAATCACAAGAAATCCAACATGGCGGCCTTTGTTTACATAGCGCGTTGTCTAATGGTCTAAGTTTGCTTGATTTTTTTTTCATTTTTTTTTACAACTTGTTGAATCAACATGGTTTTAAACGTTCCCAAACAGCAAATTTATAGAACAGTGCGCTAAAATTTCACAACTAAAGATGATTTACGCGAGGACTACTGTGCAGAAGTTGGCAACATTTGCGAGTCGAAAGTTCAAACATGGCGGCGGCTTTGTTTTTACTCACGAGCCCGTCGGCTCACAACGGCTCAGATCCCTGTGCGGTCCCATCCCCTGGCGATGCCCATGTTGTTGGCGATATTGTCCAGTGCACCCAGGACCCAGTTTGCATGGATGGGCTTCAGTTTGGGCAGTGTCATGTCAACGGAACCATGTTCTAACCGCGCGTACCTCGCATGTACCTCACGCGGAAAAAAATTATTGACTGTCGGTAAATTTGCAGACATGTAACGCCTTGTTAAAAATTACCGACTCGCGAAGTCAGAGACCTCGTGAACTCCCAAATTGCTCCATCTCGTGAAATAAAGCATTCGTGAACATAACTGGACTTACAGTATATCACACCAATTTTCTTGTTACAAATTTTGTGCAGTCTCATTTTTTTTCTTCAATGTCTCCAGAATTTTGTACTCCACTGTCGCATCCGGTGATTTTTTTTCTAAAAGATTTCTGCAACTATTTCCCTCCTTCTCCTCTCTTGTGCCTTTTTTTGCAGATTTTCTTGATGTCGCAACTATGAACACTGCTGAACAAAACCAGGCCCGGTATTACATTGCCCATCTCAACTTCCATAAATTTATTTTCCATATATAATCATAAATCGTAACATTATAGTCAACCACGTAGCTGTGGCCTGGTGGGGACATTCGAAAACAAATTTACAATAAGAATCTGTTTGCAAACTTTGGCTTTAAAAGTTAAGTTGTATGGTGACAGAAATATCATCACGCTGGCAGCTACCAATATCTCACAGCCAAGCTATGACACAGTTGCCTTAGTATGGCCGATCGCGAGCACAAGTCAACAGTTAATTTAAACGGGCTTGGTAACTAACTGGCGCATACATGAAACATGTGTTACAAAAAGAGCCATAGAGATCAAAGAATATGACATATATAAGTATGTGTCTTTGACTTTGGGGTTTGGGAAGTTTTAAAAATGTTTTGAGACAAGGAAAGAAAAATAAGTCGAAACAACGTGAGAAATGATTAAATGATTACAAAGGTAGCATAAAAATTAATATCAAATACATTTTCTGCCATGCATGTACTAGTATATGAAAAAAAAAACATTGGCGACTGCACTCTTACCTTGATATAGCTGACATATGAATCTCTTATTGCCGTTGCATCCCATATCATTCCACGTGGGACCCCCCAAACGTAAGGTGATACAGTTTTCACCTTCGCCACCATTCGGTTCACCTCGGTTCCAGTTGTTATAGCCGGTTGACGCGAGAGTCTGTCCGTCCTCGAACACCCAGTTCCCTTCGCTGGCGGCGTCACTCAGCCCGATCCAACGACCCACGTCTCCGTATTCCAGGCTGGAGATAAACGTGTTGGTCGCCTCGTCCTTCGGCATGGCTAACATCCCCCCGTCTGCGGCACACGTCTGCTTGGCCTCATCGTACGTCTTCTCCTCCGCGAAGGACTTGTAGCAGATGCCGGTGGGGTTGAAATGAACATAGTCCGGCTTTGGACACTCTGTAGAGGCAAGAATGACAGTTCGTTTTACATATAGATATCTTTGTTTGAAAAGTCATGCCCGAAGGCTAATTGCTTTCACAGTCAAAGATACAACACAGGAGACAGACAACTACTGTCTGGAAAAACTTCTACTTCTATTACTACGCTAGCTATATTATAGGGTGTGCCTTCTTCTTTGAAAAATATATAATGTCACAGGGGAGATTGGAATCCAGGGGGATCCGGAATCCTCCTAGGGGAGATTGGAATCCCTATCTCCCCTAGGGGAGATTGGAATCCCTATCTCCCCTAGGAGAATCTGGAATCCTCCTAGAGGAGATAGGGAATTCCAGTCTCCTCCTAGGGGAATCTGGAATCCTCCTAAAAGAGATTGGAATCCTGATATTCAGATCCCAATTCAGTAGTAGAAATACTAGAACTTATAGATAGAATCATTTCACACCTAAACTTTCAACCAATTTCAGCATAGGCAAGCCTATTACTATAATTGTAGGTGAATTACTAGATTGGAATCAAGATTTGTCCTGGCATAATTTGCAGTTCAGATTCCATAATTGCAATCTTTCCTCACTTAGACCCAAATATATTTCCAATTGTAAAAACAAATTGGCAAAATAAAAGAAACAACAAAATTCTTACAAACGATGATTTTTTCAGAATTTACACATGGCTTGGTAGGGGGAAACAATCCCTTATATACCAAGTCACTAACAAACTGGAAAAACTGGTTTTTGAGTCACTATCTCACAATGGCCTGATGCAAATATCTGATTATGGGTTCACCACACCACGAAGTGGTGGTGAACCCATATTGCTTTTTCTGATGTTTCTTCTCCTCCTTCTCCTCCTCCTTCTTCTCCTGCCATTTTTTAAATGGATTCAGCTTCTTCATTTTGGGGCCTAAGGACCTGAAATTTGGTATGGAAGTACAGTAGGCGAATACCCCTAGGCGTTTTTTTAATTTTTGTGATACAGGCTTTTAGAATGGTTTTATTTGAGTTTTTTGGCTGTGTTATAGCAAATGTATTACTGAGTTAGTGTGCAGTGTTACCACATTTGGGCATGAGTCATCACAATGGAATGCAGGGCATCAACCAATAGGCATGCAGCTTTCCTCTATTCTCCTTGCTGATTGGCTGTTGGAATTTAACAGGCTTAACTTAATTAATACCTGCTCAGATCCATTCCATACTGACAGTAGGTCTGTGTTCAAGTGTTTTGGTAGGTATTTTAAGCTTTCCTGCTCCAGCATTGGAATGCGGGGCATGAACACTTCTTTTTTTTCTTGAAAATCAACAGTTTGCATTATGCAATTAAAAATCCTAACCAATAATGTAGGGAATAGTTATCCAACTGTTGTAGTCTTAGTTGTATGTTACTTCATACTATAGTTATATCAATGTAAAGCATTGTTTTCCCTTGTGTTTCTCATTCTTTCCCTGCCATGTCGTAAAATGTGGTGAAGCCATTGCTGTATTTGCTCCAAAGCAAATGTCGGCCTTTCTAGTTTACATATTCACTTACTATTTTCCCAAGCATTTTGATGCAATCAGAATTTCTCCTTTTAAAATCGGAGATTGTCCTGTAACTAGTGTAAGAATTCCCATGTGTCCTAGGACAAATTGGGATTCCTATATCCCCCTAGGAGAATGTGGAAATTCCTCCTTGAAGAGGTTGGAATTTAGATATTCAGATACCAATTTTGTGGAAGAACAACTTGAATTCCAGTCTCCCCTAGGGGAGATAGGGATTCCAATCTACCCTAGGGGAGATAGGGATTCCAATCTCCCCTAGGAGGATTCCGGATCCCCCTGGATTCCAATCTCCCCTGTGACATATGTATCGGATAATGACAAATTATTGACCACAGATATTACACCCAGCATTTTCCGTCCCAAAGAGTACATAGCACAGCAAAATTACATGTACAGCTAGAATGCACCGAACACTGTTTAGTAAAATACATAGTATTCAAGGCTTTGAGCGCTGAAGTTTAATACTGCGATAAAATGATGATATGGCTTGCGACAAAACGCGATGCGTATTCATGTTTTATAAATCGACGTGGCGTCGTGTGTCGTAATGGTAGGGCATTCGGCCCGGAACCCATGGGTCCCGGGTTCGATTCCATCTACATGTTCCGACGTTGTGCCTGTCGGAAAGGTACTTCACACAACTTTTTTTTCACTTCACTCAGGTGAAAATGAGTACCTAGCTTCGGTTACGGACGTCCCTCGAATATGACGTTAAATACAGGCCCCGTGTTTTGGGGAGAGCCACACCCCACGCACGCTAAAGAAACCACCACACCACAAAAAGAGTAGGGGCATGCCCCGGTGTGCGATGGTCAAATTTTAAACTATTCATGATTCACTTCAAATCACCCGAACAGAGGTCTAGCGAACCCCCGTCTCATATCCGTGAGCCACATGCAGGGTAATTTACCTCATCACCATGAGCGCTTTACTCCAACTGATGCTTAGGTTGCTGCTCAGTATTCAATCAACAATGAGAACAACAAGTAAAATAGTATTCAAAGCTGTTGGACACTGAAGTTACTGCGCTAACCTGGCTTACGAGATAATAAGAAATAAATGAAAAAAATAAAAAAACAATTCGAGGCATGTCCATCGAGGCATGTTTTATAAATCGTCTTACCTTGTCCATGTCCATGTCCGATGGTGAAGAGTATGAGAACAAGTGTACAGAATAGACGCAAACTTGCAGACATTTTCCTCGGCTTCCTTCGGAGTAGATTTTTCTCACAAAGGACAATAAGCGTAGATATCACCGACTGCTTGTCTTATGACTGGATATCCTGTAGGTACTAGTGTTAATATGAACATGAGGCTGCGAGGGCGAAACCATTGCAACAATGGGTAGGAACATTTTTCATGATACATCAGGAAAGAGTTGCTGACATTGCTGAAACTTTATGCTGTTTACTGCAAAACAGACCTTTGGAAACAAACATTGTGTCACCTTTTATGAACGCAATAGAACTCATCTTTCTGGTGTAAAATCGTTTTCACGTCACCCCTACCCCCCTCCTCCGTTACAATATTAAAGTGACCCAACTGTTGCGTCATGAGTTGGAAAACAGACAGAGAAAAGGCGACGTGGTAACCTTGGTAACCTAGCAACGCGGTAACCTAGAAACGGAGCTTGTTTACCTCTCCACCTCCTGTTTTTCTTTCTCGCAACTTCCTTAGTGTCTACAATCGAATCACAACTTCTGTAGTGTCTACAATACTTATGAAGGAAAAATTCTTAAGTTATTGATGTTTATCGGTACATGCTGTTGGCTAAAATTCTCCCAAGTTATTTTCTTTTTCTTCGTAGAGCTACCGCCCTAGTACTCTAAATATAATACTACGGATTAGCATAAAGGGAGGAGGTCTGAATTATTTATGAGAGCGGCTACACTGAGAGTACAGGTAACAATAGAGGGATTACTTTAAGTGCTTCTAATTTTCCATGTGACGCAGTATGGTAGAAATTGTATGATTATTTTTTCTTGTCAATATACGTTCTCTTATTTGACCAAGATAAAAAATAACTGAAACGCCCTTCTAGCTGCCGTAAAATCACTTTGTTGATACATTTGCTGCAGGGTTTGTTTATTTGTTTGTTCGTTTGTTTTTATTCATTATTCACGAATCAAGACAAGCTCAAACCGACCTACAGGTCGCTTTTCGTTGAGGTCACGAGGGAAAAGGTCAGGGTCAGACATGATATATAGAAAAATAAAATTTACATCATTTTTAAAGTCCTGATAAATTTATACACATATTTTACACACGAAAAAAAAAACACAAAACACATACAAATCGCGTACAATCAACAAAGCTTTTAAAAAAGCTGTGCGGAGTCCAAAATTGGAGTAGCCGGTTGGGTACAATATATGGAATCACAACTTTCGCAGTGTCTACAATACTTCTGGAAAAAAATATTAAATTATTTATGTTTATCGTTACATGCTGTTGGCTGAAAAATTTTTCTTCACCATACTACTAAAAAATGAGAGTCAAAAATGGGAATTGCTGATTGGGTACCATGAGTGCGCACTATAGATATCAATGACTCAAATAATTGGTCAAATCGAGTTTGTCTAGATTATCCAAATCATCAAGTCAGACCCAGAAGACTGTTTGATATTAGTAATACGATAGCTTTGGTTCTCTAAGGCCACACCAATTCAATTTGTTGGTTCTCGGACTTTTTTTAGAAAAAAAGATATAGTAGGCCCGTGCAAAAACACCTCTAAGACATTTGATGACTCTACAAGTAGGTAATCAAGGAAAAAATGGAAGCTTCCATTTTTATCGGACGCAAAACGGCCACCTAGTGTTTTTTTTTCAAAGTTCAAACATTGGTATTCCCCAGGTAGAAATGATGTCATGTGTAAGACTCATTTAAGGCTACAGAGATGACCAAAAAACTGACACGTGCAACATTAGATTCTTCGTAAAATCTCTATTAATAAAAATTTTCCGAAATCAATCTTATATATAAAATCTTATGTATAAAATGAATGAATGAATGAATGAATGAATTGAGATAAAGGAATGATAGATCTGAAACAGGTTTATTGACGAATCAAAAAGTACAGCAACTTCCATAGGTTCAACTACAAAATAAACAAAAATGAATCTTAAAATTCAACCTTCTGGAAATTTTAAATAACAAATCAAGTACATCTACAATGTTGTAATAGTTTCAATATCTTTTCTAATAACACAGCAATCTTGTAAGTATTGCGGGAGTTGTTATATTTCATATCTCAACATATCTTCAAATATTCTAAAAGATATACAAAAGTTAAAATTCAAGATTATAACTGATGCGGAAAATAACAAACCGGTGGGCGTAAGAAATGCAGATACCACCTTAGAAAATAAAAGCAATAATTACAAAATTTAATATGAACAGTCTGATAAGTTTAATACGTTACGTAAATAAATCGTAGTAAGATTAAGAAAATTTAGACTTTTAAAAAGTATAATATATAAAAGAAAAGTTTGCAGGTCAACTAAAATTACAAACTAAAATCTTACTATTTTCAACTTTTGGTATATGTTGAAGATTCGTTTATGGTGAGCTGTAAATCGCAATGCATAATTCATTAAACTCATTGTAGTGCCCCATGTGTTGAACAGAAAAAGCAGTGGGGACACAAAAAGAGAACCTAAGGACATAACTTGACTCATTTTTCGTTCAGCTGCAGTAGCCAGATGCGGTCGACTGGTCACATGAAGAAAATGGTCTCACAGCCATATCCAAAACTGTTGGTCATCATCAGTAATGCCTGGCAATATAGAATTGAATACAGTTAGTTTCTGTTACCCAGACTTAAATGTTTAAAATAATCTCAACGTTCTGAACTAACATTGATATCTAACTCCGTGTTTCAGTTTTTGCATTGTGACGCTGTAGAGCTCAACGATCTCATACCTCCGTCATAAGATGGTAACCTTTACGATTGACATGTTAATACTTCGTGATTTCTAGTTGATTATGCAATTACGGTCCTCATTTGCATAAATCTTATCAGTTGATGATCTTCACTCAAATATACAAGTTGTCCAGAGTATTGAAAATGAACGTTTCGTCAAAATATAGAAGTTTATCGCAGCATTTTTGCATTATTTGTAATAATCAATCATGCAAATACTTCTAAATTGACCTTAGCTTATAGCTTAAAATTATACAAAATTATGTTAACCTTTAACTAAGTAAACTTACACATGTCCTTAATATGTAATTCCCATCATTTACTATTAAGAAATTTTGACGGTTCCACATCAATCATGAAAATTAGGCCCTCATATAATTACTTTCATAATTTGCATCTGCAGTAAGGTAGTAACAGTCTATTTTAGAACTGTGCTTACCTGTTCTGTTGGCAGATAAACATGCCCTTAGTCTCACATGTTGAATCGTTCCACTTGTACTTCTGGTCGTCGTTGGTTATTCCAGAGAAGTACATGACGCAGCGTTCGTGTGCCGTGCTCGGTTCACCCGGCCCCCAGTTGGTATAGCTGAGAGAGGTGCCGTCATCCCACGTGTAGGTACCGACTGACTGCAGGTCATCCAGGCCAATCCAGGTTCCCTGTAGATTGATGTACATAAAACATTAAATCTCACAACTTCTTCCGCAAGACACCAGATCAACCACACCATGGGGTCGTGTGGCGCGGTCGGTAGCGTGTTCACCCGTGCTCACACCCAATTGCAAGAGGTCGCGGGTTCGAATCCTGCCCATGTCGCCGATCTTGTGCCCTTGGCTTCGCTTCACTCAGGAAATGAATACCTAGCTTCGGTTAGGGACGTCCCTAGGATAGGACGTTACATGGAGGTCCCGTGTTCGGGGAGAGCCACAACCCACGCACGTTAAAGAACCCACCGCACTTATCAAAAAGTGTGTGGTCGAAACCTTACATTCCGGTCTTACGCAGCTTGTACATGTACGTACATGTACAAAACTGGTGTGTTACGCCCAAAGGCGGTTTACCGGTTATGCGAAAAAAAAAAAAAAACAGAACTGTTCTGGAAACTCATAAATAACATGATCACATACAAGATAGACATTAACAAACCCTTAAAAGCCATGGTGCCAATACATGAGCAGCTGAATATTCTATCATTGTGATTGTTACTGACCTCTAGCTGACCTCCAAAACGTGATCTTGAAAATGTTAATGTTGCTTTTCAGTTATGCGTGTTTTATATACATGTATGTGCTTGTTGTGTTGTGTGCCTTTGTCTTGATATAAAATAAATAGGCTGTGTTTTTAATGAATCCAGGAAGAATAAATAAGATTTTAATGTCCAATCTAATAAATTCCTAATAAAACAACAAAAACAATAACCTTCTCGGTGGATGTTTCCTTGATCATGTTGACGAGGACGTCGTTGGTAGCTTGGTCCTTTGGCATGGCGAGGCTGCCGCCGTCATCACAGATGATCTTAGCAGTGTCAAACGTGTAGTCACCATTCGTTATCTGGTAGCATTTGTCCCCATGTTGTGTCCACCCTGAGCGACAAACTAGAGAAGAAAAATGAGATTTTAGACTTCCGGAATGTCTTTTTGGCTTTTCTGACATTTCAATTCACCCACATGTCAGTATATGACCTTTTGACAATATACTTGGCGACTTTAAACACATTCTACCACCCAGGGCATACTGGGTCACAACCATGACAATCAACTAAAAGTAAATCTCCACCCTCTCACATCTAATCCTTCCTGCTTATGAAAGGATACATACAAACTCCGGAGATGCTCAAAACAAAACTTCCGTCCCGGAAGTAGGATATCAGTGAGTTGGCTTTTAACAAATTTTTCTTTCATGTTAGTGTTCTCTTTGTGTCGTATGTTGTGCGAGTTTTGTGGTACCACGGCCATATAAAAAAATTAATTTGGTTTTCGCCATAGCATCATTCTTGGAGAGGACGAACCGCTTATTTTTGTTCATTCGGTTAATCTTTTGGCAAAATCAATTCTAATGTTGAGAGATCATCAATTTGAGGGGACATGTTTGTAGGTTTCTTATATCAGCTTTGTTGCATTGTTCATGGTTTCAAAAAAGAATTCTAGAAAAATCTGACAAGTCCAACCATGTAAGCTTGCTTATCACATAAAAATATAGTACGATATACTATATTCCATATTCCCCGTTCATATATACACCGCGCGATGCCTGTAAGAAGATTATTTTTCCACGACCTCCATCTCCATATATGTATATCAAAACTTTAAAAGAAACATGTGCAATAGTTTAATATTTAAGTATCACAGCTAGTTTACCACGATCGTCGCAGAAAAGTCTTATCATATGTGCATCGTACGATGTATTTTGGTTAGGGCTTTACGAAATAAATTATTAGACTCTACAATCAGATTGTATAATCAGAACTTGCTATGCCAGGGATGTACACTTCATATCAATCAGTAGTATGTATATAATCATGTATATATGTATGTAATGCAATGTAATGTTATGTGCTTTTTATGTATTGATTGTAAATACCAATGTCATTCATGCAACACTATAATTCTACATACTGTATGTCTGCAATGTTGGTATAGTAATAAAGAATTGAATTAAATTATAACGAAATATCTAAAAAAAAGTATATGGCATTACCTGAGCAGATAATCCCGACATCTTCACTATGACTACAGTCATGGGTGCCGTGGGAGGGGTGCGAGCAGTGATCTAAGTTGGACTCCGACCCGGAGCAGCCGACCTCGTCGAGAAATATGCTTTCTTTGCCCCCCGAACCTGCTCCAAACTTTGAAGTAAGCGCCACGTATACTCCGTTCTGGTAGCCGAGTTGTCGGCAGGCTACAGCCGCGTCGTTCTCGTCCCATCTGCAAAACAAGAGTTCTGGGATATCAGACCTCCATTAAACCATGATGTTTTAGTCAAGACCTTTTTTTGATAGGATGGGTTGGACAGAACATCCTGGAGGGACATTGATTGATTGATTGGGGTTATTGTTTGCATGGCGCTGTCATGATTTCATGATTTTGAGGAAGCCTTGTACCCTCCCCTCCCCTCCCCTGAGTGAACGAAACCCAGGTTCACAGAAAGTTCATGTAGGGCATCCGGCAGACAGGTTCTCCCAATGGTTTCCAGAAAGGTGGGCATGTCAACAAACAGAGCTGGGAGACATTCCTGTGGACATTCCATGTCTGTGGACAAAATGCCTGTACCATTCCTAGAATTCTTGCGAACTGCACACACCACTGTACCAATAGGCTCCTCCCTGAGACGTCGGCAAATAAACACATGTGAAACAGCGAGCGCTACCAGTACAAATTATTAATGACTTTCTCACTGCGGGACAGACTGCACACAACTATGTCCATCACAACATAGCCTTGTATAAAAGATAATAAAGTCTATGGAAGTATTTACCTATCGTCACAGACCGTCCCCCAGGCTCCGTTTTGGTACCGGATCTCTACCCTCCCCTCCCACGGGTTGCTGCTGCCCATCAGACGTATTTCATAGTCTAGATCTGGAAAATAAAATAGTAAAACGATTATGACCAATTTTTGCACGAAAGTTTACCTGACATATTTCATACCCTATATCTAAATTAGAAAAAGTACAAGAATTGTGGCTAATTTTTGCAAGGAATTTCATCTGATATATTTTATAGTCTAGATCTAAAAAAGAAAAAAAAGTGAGAGGATTGTGATCACAGAAAATTGACCGGCAAACTGAATTTTTGACCAAAGCTCTCGGTCTTCAGCAGCTACCTGACCCCTGTGCTGTAGGCACGTGTTTTTTCCGCACGTGTGACGTCAGCACTGGGTGAAAGGTCTTCCAAAATCGGTACCGCCTCCCGTCGCGGTAGATAGATAACAAAATTACGGGAAGTCAATTTTCCTTCAGTTGGAGTATATGTACAGTCTATTTCTCATAGAGTAATTGACCAATTGAACTTTCATGCTAAGGACTTTTACCTGTTCCGCAGGTGTCACCAGCGTATCCAGTATTACAGGCACACGAGAAGCCGTTCACACGGTCCGTGCAGGTGCCGCCATGTTGGCAGGGGTTGGAGGAGCATTCGTTAATATCTGTGGCAGGGCAGAAAAACAACGTCAGTCTCTATATTCAATGTGTGTCTCATTCAGTAGTCTGATACAGTACGCTTCTACTCGTCTGAGGCCCGTGCAATGTTGATGAAAAACATCTCTAAGTCAGGAGAATTGGGAACATCCTAATCCTATTGATTTATGCATATGTGCTGACATAAACCTGAACTATTGTCAGACTGAGGAACTGTCTGTCACCATAGTATCTCAAACAGGCTGTAACAAGACCGACCACCGACAGTGATTTAAGGCAGACTGTTGAATTTTGTACGAAACATGCACGACTATCACAAGATCAGAAGAATGCTTTATATAATATATATAATTTACTATTTTACGATCTTGCGACGAATGTGCACAAGCCATTGGTTACGTAAGAGTTGCATTTTGTGTTGGTTGTCACAAGGACAGATTGAAAGCAACCCCCGGGCAGCATGAGTTATCGATAACCTACTCACCTGTTTCACAGTTGGTTCCCTGGTATCCAGCAGCACACCGGCAGTAGTAGCTGTTCATACGGTTCTCACATTGCGCGCCGTTCTGACAAGGGTTGGACGCACACTCGTTGATTTCTGAGAAGAATGTACGAATGGAATAAACGTCGTTGAATGAAAGAATATAACAAAAAAAACATCATTGCTGTTATGAAATAACTGTTAAACTTCACACCCCAATAATGAAAAGAAAACTATATTTAGACTAGACCGATTTTCAATAGGCCTTCGAGATTATGTAGACCCAAGGAAAAGTAGACTAGACAAGAAATCTGAGGATTTTAACTTAGAACCTGGAAGTGTTCGTGAATACATTAGCGCACAAGTCAGCCACCCAAAACAATACATCCACAGGGCGACAAAGCAGTTTTTCCCTCAGAGAAATGAATATTAAGTCAACTACTCACCGTAACAGCTGCTAGCCCCCGCATTGCTGGTCATCCCGGCAGAACAGCTTTGACAGCTGCTAGATCCGCTGCTGGGGTTAAACTGTCCAGCCGGACAGGGCGTGCATGAAGACGCCCCCGAGCCGCTGTACCGACCAGCCGGACACTGCGGACAGCCTGTACTGTCATGGTTACTGTGGGTCCCCGCTGGACACATCTCCTCCAACTCGTCCCCTCTCACACACTTGTAGCCTGACTGGCACTGGTCACAACGGAACGAACCGTCAGCTGGTGAGGGAAACACAGAAGGCCATTAGGACATTGCAAATCTAAAATCTCAACCAACAAAGACGGCGGGCGTCACAGACTGTCTGCAACCTACCATCCAGTACTCACCAGGTCACGTGGGTAATATGTATAATGTGACTAATTTCATTGGTTGCCTATTTCTTGACAAAGACTGGAGTTGTAGTGTTGACAAATTGGAAATTACAGCTCAGCTTAAACTTCATAATGACTTCCATTAACACAGATGATCTTAACAGAATAACAGTAGGCTATTATTAGTGATATAACCAAATAGGATGGGAGTGTCTTAACGACCTGACGGAGCCCGGCTACTACAGTTACCAGAAAATGGCCAGGTTTTATTTAGATAAATTGGACACATGTATCTCAAAAACAGAATTATACAATATAAACATCAATTATGCAAATCAGATCTTTATTATCCTAAATAACAGCGGCCGATGTTTCTCTCGTTCTCAATTACACATGCTAATAGTGTGTCCCATACCTAGACCGAAGCCCTCCACCATGACAGTAGTGAATACATAACCTTCTTTTCGAAGGTAATTAACCCGACGTACCTAGTTTGACCGCCTTCTGTCCCGGACTGCAGCCCTCCGAGCAGACACCATTCACGGCGTACTTGCAGGTGTGACACTGGTTACTGTTGGGACCCGTACACACTTGGGTTCCCTGGCCGCTCACATCTTGGCAGAAGCTATGGCACTCTAATAAAGATGTACATAAAAATATGGTCAGACAGGAGTATAAATCCCTCCTACTATAAAATTGCAACATTATGTAACCCAATACCAGTTACCATGGTGAGAGACGTCAACAAATCACGTCATTCGCCAGGTCAGAGGCCAGTGTTTGGAACGGAAGAAGAAGAAGAAGAAACAGAGCAAAAACAATGTTTCCTTCGGTAAACATAAATATAATTCACACATTTCTGGGGATATGTTGAGCACAGAAACATAACATTTACAGAAAATGGAAGAAGAAGAATACATAGAAGACAGTGTAATATTTGCTACTGCATTACAACTAGGACAACTAACTGATAACTAGATACTCAACCCTGATTACCTATCCTACTATAGCTACCAATTCTCTCTCGCTGCGGAGAGGACGAATCGTCAGTTAAAGTAGGTTTGATAAACAGGCAAAAAGACTCAAATAATTAAGTTCGTACTTTTGCAGACGCCGTCAACAAGGTAGTGAGTGAGCGGACAGTCGGTCACACACGTCACTCGGCCTCCTTCACTGCTGGTCTCCATTTGCTTCTTGCCTATAAGTAAAAAGAAATCAGATTTTTTACACATTCAGGAAGTGTTGTGTGTGTGTGTGTGTGTGTGTGTGTGTGTGTGTTGAGGGGGGTTTGTATGATGTAATCTAATCAGGTATTACTAGTCTCAAAGAAGAGTAGACAAGAAATCTGAGATGTGTTAAAACAGAGGAGTGAATTGTATAGAATCTAATCGGGCATTACATTACTTCCTACATTCCTCCACATACTACCCACTTACCCCCATTCGGCGAGTGTCGGTCACCTCCAGGATTGACATATCAATCAACTGTCAAAACCATCTATTTTCCCCCATGCTCACAAACTCACAAGGCAGCCACCCAAAACAATACTTCTGCACCCATACAAACAAGTCCTGTCACTTCAATAGTATAATATATGAGAATCAGGACATACATGTACACTTGTTGGTGTCTGCCATCAGCTCCATGTGTTCTGGACAAGCAGCCACACATTTAGAAGAGCCGGGACCTCCGTCTATGTACGGGTAGGCTACGCTGAAGTGACGGCAGGCGATGCAGTCTGTCGGCGAGTCGGATCCAGTCGTCCTACAACCTGTAACATACAGTGAAGTTTGAAATTAACCCTTCGCGCCAGATTAAGTCGAATGCTTTTGAAATATCGACAAATCAACATTATTAACAACAGTTGCATGGTGTAACACACGATTGAATTACACCATACAACACCCTCCAAGATTCTAACACATTTTTGAAAACCCAAGAATAGCAGAATTCTCATTTTTCATCGTTTTGTAATTTGATAACAATCTTTGAGACTTTTTCCCTCACCGTCACATTCTGAGTGACACCGCTGTTTGCACCTCCCGTCGTCCTTTTCGGTCCCCTCTCTGCAGACGATGAAGTCCTGCGCTGGTTGGTCCACCAGGGACACGCCCATGACCTTGACCGGGTACATACCGCTGCCAAACGCGTAATAATGCAGAGACAGGATGCTGTTAAACCGGAAGTCAAGCCAGATGTGGGGCCGTTCCTGGTGTGGAAAAGAAAAGGTACTCATGTTAGGGAATTTTGGTGTGTACATTGCCATGCACGCGGGACTAATGAAAATATTAGGGGGGGGGGATCTATTTTCAGATATTTTATACTAGTAGAGGAAAGGATTACTAAACTTTTGTTATGAAATAGTTGCGGCAAACAGTAAAAACAGACACTATGATGAGTTCTTTGCGTCTGTTATATTTTCATAAAAACTATTTTGACCAAAAATTTAAAAATTGAAGTGTCCAAACATCGAAGACTTGAAAATGGCTGCCTTTTCAGAACACGAGATATTAATACCGAAGTTAACACTACATTACCTAGGATAGCCGCCAGGGGGCAGAAAATCTGATAATTTCAAGGTTGTGTCACACCATAAGAATAAAACTAAATAAGAAATATGACTTTTAGCTGTTCTTGAGTAATCTTGGTGACAGATATACATACACAAGGTATACATACACCAAGGCTATCAAAAGAATAACCTCCAGTTAGCAGGTAATGCGCCCTTGACGTGTAATGCATTCGTTACATGACAGATGGCGCTGTTTATGACAACTCACCTCATTGTCAGGCGTCTTGCCGTACTGAACTGTTGTTGCCCCGCTCACGGTGTCTTCTGTCACGCAGACGAAGTACGACTGGTACAGGTTGGACGATCCCAGGCTACTGGCGCCATCCTTCAGCTGTGTTGTTTCCAGTCGCATGGCCTGTAGGGATCAAAAATTTCATCCAATCAGCGTGATTGTGAGTATGATTGTCTCATGTCCAATTAGCAGCGGTTACGTGATTGGAGGTGATTTTGACAGTTGATTGACAGGAAAGTCAAGCCTGATAAATGCCCTCCTGCAGCTGTGTTGCTACCAATCGCATGGCCTGAAGGGAAATTGTCATCCAATCAGCGTGATTGTGAGTATGATTGTTTCATGTCCAACTAGCGGGGGTTACGTGATTGGAGGTGGTTTTGACAGTTCATTGACAGGGAGGTCAAGCCTGATAGTGACCCATTACACGCGGGTTTGGAGTATTTGGAGGATAATTCAGGAATTGTGGATAATACCCGATTAAATTACATAGAAGACTTAAAAATGATTTTCTTATTTAGAAGTACTCATACAGTTTTAACAGTTATAATACATTCGCAAAATCTACAGTACTTCTAAAATCTTCAATTTGTTTGTTTTTATGTCAACATTACAACGGCAGTGGAATAGGTCTAAAGTTATGGAATATGTTCAAAATAGGTTTATGTTCAATGCACAAGATACCCGCATATAGAATGTCAATTATTCTCCTATATCCCTCTCTCCTCTTGGTTCATGAATATTGGCAGTAGGACACCTGCTTTACCTTGTATAGAGCCACGCCCTCTGGCGATATTTGTATGTACAACCACGTCTCGTAGTTCCGCGGGATGCCGGCAAACACCACGAAGATGTCTCCCTCTGATGCGGCGGTGAAGTGGATACACTTCCCTCCGTCGGTTGGGTCGATCCGGTGGGCGTTGGACCACTTGATGTTGCAAGGGGCGTCTCCATTTGTCACCCTTAACATGTTATAAGAAAAATGAAAGACGCGTCACTTTGCGGTAAGTAGTAGTATTGCAGCTGTCATTTGTCATTAGCAGTTCAACCAATGGTAGTAGGTCAATTAGCGTTCTGACCAATGAGGCAGTGGCTGCATGCCTATCAAATGTTTGTATCAATACTCGTTTCCATGTCGCATGTCT